GTCTGCCCACTGCCTGTGAACATGCATGGAGTTGCTGTATGTATCCTAGCTATGGACAAGGTGAATGAAGTTGGCGGGGAGGTTGTTAGATGTGGTTAGATACCTTGGAGAGACTGGTTGCAGTACAGTGATGGAGGCCGGCCAGATTACAAGGGACCAAGCGATTGGTAAGGAAGGTAAACACATGCAGAGACCAGAATGACAAGAGATGTGGTTGTGTCCAAGGCCAGTGCATTAAAACCCTTCACACAGGAAGGCAAGCAGGACAGGTCATTATTCACTCAGAGGCCTTTCTGACAGGGCAGGTTACTGTTATCACTCAAACTAAGGTTTAGGACCTTGAGGTCCACTCACCAGACAATAAGGCCAGGTCTCGTTCATCAAACAGCACCACTGGGGCGTACTTAGACTCACTGCTAGATTAAAAGACCTCCCCCAGTCCCTTCCAATGCTAAAGTTCCATTAACCGTCGGTGCACTTTCCCACCTCAACAAACGGTAGGTGTTTATAACCGTGCTCAGGACAAGGACTCAGAAATTGTGGCTGGCTGATGATATTGCCCCGAAAACAAGCACAAATGCAAAGTAACAGGACAAAAAATATCCTTATCCTTATCTCAGCAAACTCTCCTCTACCTAAAACATCTTGATTTGCATTAGGGAGTAAGTTGTCACTGATATCTACTACAACAGACTGATTTGGCTTATCAAGACGCTGAGAAGAAAAACGAGAGAAAAAATGAGCGCAGTTTGGCATCGAAATGACATTAAGCTCCAAAATGAGTTAAACATTTGGAAAACAATGATGCTGCATGGTTCAGTCTATTACAGAGATCCGAGAGTAGCACATGCAGCCTCTGCCTCTGTTTCATTAGCAGCTCCTGTGAGTCATCCCTGACATCAAATGGCAAAGGATGGCTATCAGTTAAGGTGTTCTGTGAGACAGTCAATACCCTGGCTTGAACTTGGGCTCATGTCAACTCAGATTCTTTGGGCTTAAACACAACCCCACATATAGCATGGACACATACACGCGCAAGCTCATGCATCAGAATCTAAATCGTATTGCACGATGCACTGAAAAGGCACACCTGTGGGAAGAAGAGTCCAAGGCAATCCTTCGACATCCCTAAGAAATACAATCTTAAACAATATACGAATATGTGCCCCCAAAACTGCTGGGAAAACCCACTGGAGCACAGAGGTTCTCCTAGCCTGAGTCATCCACTGGAAGGCAAATCCACACATGGAAAAAAGCTGCACGCTGAACAAATATTACAGATTCAGAAAGCTTGACTATTTTAATAATCAAATCTAATTGCTGCATGGTCGAGCCCATCAGTTGCTACAGAAAAGATTGTGAAGGGGGCTGAAAAGGCCATGCCGAGCTCGGAGGTGGTTGACTCAGCCTCTTCAGACATGACAGACAAAATATCAGGCCGTCCAGAAGGCAAACAGCAGTGATACAAACAGCAGGAGCTCAGACACTGATGGGGGCAAATGAAGCATATCATTTGTCCCTGTGGTAGCATGGGCCTCAAAGTCACTTAGGCTTGGGGAGCAATCACCAGAGACACAATGGAAGACACACACCAAACAGTAGAGCTGCTATGTTACATTATAAGATGATAAAAATGAACAGTCTTGTGTGGATAAAACATTTTCAAGTGTTCTATGGTCTTCTTTATAGTCTAGGTGATTTTGACTATAGTATATATATGTATTTGGGATGAAACTATGGCCTATTTGCAGACTACATTTGTGCCTTACATAAATGTACAGGGTGTTGTTGTTTTAAATAAATCCACCTACTTAAATGTCTTGAGCTGAAGAAAGACATTATTTCATTGAAGAGGATGAGTTAGAAGACTTAAAACTCAGGAAACACACTCAAGTTGAGAAATCCATTGTTGATGTCAAATAATAGCCAAGAGCCTTCCAGTTGGAAAGGACTTTGTCTGCCTATTGCCTGTGAACTTGCATGGAGTCAATGTAATCTTTATGTTTTCCAGATTTAGCCAAGTGATGTGGAACAGAAAATAATCTGTCCCTCTTTTCAAGAGAAGGAAAAAGAAGCAGAGAAGTGCAGCAAGAGGTGACCTCCAGTCTTCTGTACAACGAACAGAAAGCAGTCATAGATAAGGATGTGTATGTGCGTGTGTGTAGAGTGTAGGATGCTTAAATAAGCCTGAGTTTTGCAAGACAGAAGGAGATATGAGAGAAAGAATCAAAGTCTAACTTGAAAACAGAAATGCAGAAAAGAAAAAGGACTAATTTTTAACAAGTGAAGGGAAGTGAGACGTCAATTAAAATGCACATCTACAATTGTATTTCTTTAAATATTGTTCTGGTTTGTAATATTTCTTAACAAACATTTACAATTAAAGGTTAGTTCATAATAACACTTTCTTTTAAGTTACATTTTTAATGAAAAAGAAAAAAACTGTGTGCTGTGATGAATGAGTGTCTATGGAAAGCCATGAATAAACCAACCTCACATTCCTTTGGTTTCTGAATGTCAAAAGTACACTCAACAACCTCACAGCTTAAAAAATAATTGGTCCTTATGCCTCTCCTGAACTCCAAGTCTGTCAAAACGCCGTTCCACATGAATGTCCTACCAGCACTCTCCGACAAATTCCGTGCCCTACCTCTCTGCTCAAACAGTCCATCTTCCAACGCTGCCTGTCTTGTACTTGGCCTTCAGCCTCAGCCATTGCCTCTCCTTGCTCTCTCAGAGGTCCCATTTAATCACTCCATCAATTCTGTTTCCTCCTAGGCTCTCTTCCTTGCACCTGGTAAGAGTCTCAATGTGCTGGGCATTTCCGTCTACTATTTGCCTTCTCCTGGAATTATCTTCCATAGATAGCCCAAGTTCCCCAGGAAGACTTTTCATACTCCAGCCTCATGCTCCTAGTCCAGTTTCCCAAATCCTGGTCACACTAGCCTCCTGGTTCCTCTGGACCTCTCTTGTCTTTACTCAGGCCTCTGCCTGGAAAGTCACCCTCCCCCCTTTTTCTCTTTGTGTTCTTGTCTCTGTCAGCCCTACTCACTGCTTCTTGGGTGAAGCTCTTGGCAAAAATAATCTCTCTGTCCTCTGTGCTACTGTGGCACCTTAGTTCTCACACAGTGAAATACTTATCACATTACATTACAGTGGCTGATGTGTCTGTCTTACCAACCAGATTACAAGCCCCTTTAGGGCAGGAATCTCTCTCTATTGAAAGCACCTAGCACAGGGGCTGACAAACGGAAGGTGGTCAAACAACTCTTATTAAGTTAAACGCTTGTTTCTTCAGGCTCCCCAGCCAGGAATTACCTGGTGACAACTTACTCAAATTGAGACTTGTAAGGAGGAAAGAGACTCGTAAGCAGATGCATGAAATCTGAGAATCATAATTTAAAAATTGCCCTCTCCCAATTCAATGGAAATTCTGGGAGAAAAATAGATAAGAACCTGGGGGCTGCCCTTTATGAATCTAAAGGCTACTGACTTTGTTATATACTATGAAAATTTGGTATACTCATAGAAATCACCATGGTCAGTGTTTCAAACTTAGAAAATTTTAAGGCATTTGAAAATGCATGAAGTGAATGACTATATGTATACTGAGGACAAGTAAATGTATTCTTTTAAAGTATAATATGTATTAAAGTGTGATTTATAAAAAGAAAACAAATCCTAAGAATACAGCTCAAGGAATTTTCAAGGAAATATAGCCATATAACCAGAATCCAGATCAAGAAAAGAAACATTCCCAGACCCCAGAAGGCCCTTTGTGTCTTTTTCTAACCACTGTTCTTCCTCTAAGGTTAACCATTATCCTGACTTTTAACACACAGATATGTTGTGCTTGGTCTTATTCTTATTCTTTGCATTTTCTGTTGAGTTTCCTTAACTCAACTCAGTCACGTAGCTGCAAGTAGAATGACTCAACCTAAATCTGGGTGAATGCTTCTTAAATTGTTGCAAATTACAAATGGAGCTTTAAGGACGGAACCATAGAAACTCAGTATTTCTTCACTTTGGCCAAGAATTACTTGACATAAAACTATCCATATTATAGTAAGACAAAAATTTGTCATATTTCTGAACCTTATAAACTCTATGACATTAACTCAGTAACTTTCTCAGTAAACATTCCTAGAATGAAGAAAGAAATGAAGTAGAATTGCAAAGTACTCTTTAAGAAAAAAAAACAAAACAAAACTGAGTGGGGGGGAGACTCCCCCAAAGCTCACTGAATACTTCTGCCACATAATCATTTTTTAAATCAGTCTAATTTTCTGAACTCTAGGAACAATTTTTGCATCTTTCGATCTTTTGTTGCTTCCTTTTTGATACCTGCACTTTTATTTATTTATTTGTTTGTTTGTTTGTTTATTTATTTATTGAGTTGGAGTCTCACTCTGTCGGCCAGACTGGAGTGCAGTGGTACACTCCCAGCCACCGCAGCCTCAACCTGCTGGGGTCCGGCAATCCTTCCGCCTCAGCCTTCCAAGTAGCTGGAACTACGGGCAAGCACTACCGTGCCCGGCTACTTTTTGATTTATTGTAGAAATGAGGTCTTGCCAAATTGCCCAGGCAGGTCTCGAACCCGCGGGCTCAGGCAATCCACTTGCCTCAGCCTCCCAAAGTGCTGGGATTACAGGCTGAGCCACCGAACTCGGCCTTGCACAAACATTTAAACACTAAAGTTTGGAGAAACTTTTTAAAAACTCATGTGTCCTAACCACAGACTGATGGTTGGCAAAAGTTGGTAAAAAGAAAAAGGAAAGGTTTTGCCACCACATTATAGAAGAAATATGATAGGAAAATTTTCAGATTGAATTTGTAAAACAAATACAGGAGGATTATCTGTGTTCTCCAGCCTTTGAAAGGATCTGTCCAGCATCCAGCAAGCTATACCATCATATTACTTTACATAATATACATTTATCACACCACTAGCCAACTATATGTGAACTGCAAAGCTTTCTCATTCACCTATGAGCACATACCTTGGGGATTAAAGAAACCAGTCATCCAAAACACATTAGGCCTCCCTTCAAAGATCCAAGTAGAAAACTGAGCATTCCTTTCCAAGAGTTCAGTAAACCAGAAGCCCAGTGTGGATGAATCCCAGGATACTCTCTTCCAGAGCTGAGGTATACGAGCATCATACATGTTGTCTAGGGCATCTCTCAAGTTCTAAAGAAGATAAAGTTAAAATATGTGAATAAGAAACATCAACAAAAGAGGGAAACAGCTATCGAGATAACAACAGCTCACCTCACTCATGATGATTGTTCCTTCAATGGCCAATTTTAGGTCACTCAGACTACTGCGAAGTATTGAAATGACTCTTTGCATTCTGTCGATTTCTTGTCTAAGAAATATGTTCATTGAATTAAGATGTCCCATCTTTATCAAACGAGCTTTCACCTAAAACAAAGTATACAATGCAGTAAAGGAGCTTTTATCATCTGCATTTCTTTTCTAGTGACCTCTCTTTTCTCAGCTCTTTTTCTTCCTCTGGATGTATCTCTATCCATCCAAATGAACTCTAAAATATCTCTTGCAGAACCAAACTTGCCATTAAATTTCCCATTTTCTGGGCTTCAAAAACTACTGTTCAACGAAAATGATTTTTATTTCCTACTGGTTGTACTTAGTTGATAATTGGAAATGTACTTTTAAAAGCTGAAATAAAATTGTACCTTTTTTCCCTTTCAAATGATTAAGTACTGGATGTCAGTTAAATATTCTTTTGCAACCCAACCATTATAAGAGTACAGTGGAATTTTTTTCATTATACTTGCAGAGTTGTTATTAGAAATGTCACAAAAAGTTAATACAGCCAAAATCTTTACAGAACAATTACCAATGAATATGATTAGCTGTAGTTTCCAAAGATTATTGTTGCTATGGTGTCTGAAGAAAACTTTTCCTAATATTTGAATTTATGGACTAGCTATTAAGCATCTGTCATTTGTTCCTTTGTATATCGTTTATTGACCATTTTGAAGAGATAAATACAAAATTCTCTGGTTGTGGGAACAATAAAATATAACAATTGTTGAAAAATAAGCCAATATAGATAGATGATGATAGATAGATAGATCAATAGATAGATTGATAGATAGATAGATATAGATAGATGATAGACAGGTGATAAAGATACATATATTTCAATTTAGTGACGTATGCCCAAGAAAAGATTGACTATAAATACTGGCAGGAACTCATTAAAAATTTTGAACTTTCTGCTGGATGTAATAAAAGAGGTGCCAGAATTGGAGAGACAAGAATAAACACCTGGAGTAGGAGAGATCTTAAAGGGATATAGCTGTCCAAAGCATCATAAGGAAGCAATAACTATAGCATTCTCCACCAGAGATGCCCACTGCCCCTTCTTAAGGCATGGAATGGTAGAGATGGATGGGTTTCTGAGTCATCTGGGCCATCCTCTTCATTTTACAGAACAGGTCTCTGGCATGGCATAGAATTTTCCTTTCAGCAGGGGCCACCTCTGCCTTAATACAACCGGGCCATTTCTAGTGAGTGAGAGATGAAGGGGGAAAGCACAAACTCAAAGGGAAACAGTGATATAAAACTGAGCAGCCTGAATGGGCCTACTTAGGCAGGTGGAGCAAATAATAATACAAGAATAGGAGGTGCCTATCCCAGTCCAACATAACAACCATTAAGTATTCTGAATTCCTGGTTCTAGAACCTACATTTTTGCAGTCTCCAGTGCCTTGTTCTCATCTTCATACTGATTCCTTCAACCTCCAGTGGCTGGATAGCATATATATCATCCCCTTTAATCATTACATTTCAAGAGTGGAAATTTACTCTTAAGGAAAAGGGAAATTACAGAAATACTTTTGCAATTCCATGACTGGAAAATTAGGCCCAGGTATTGACTACAATGTTAAATCAACAGTCTAGGCACCTTTAGTACCCTAACAGCCCCAAACAAATTGCCTCATCCTGCTTAGGGTTTTAAAAAAGAAACAGTTTGAAATAGAGACATGCTTAGGAAAAACTTAGGCCCTAGAAAATGTAATTTTACTTGGAATATGATTGTTGTTCCAGCCTATAATTGTCTTTTTACTAATGCAATTTAAGATTTACTGTAGTCTTATATAGGATTTTCATTATGTTTCTGAGACCAGGTAGTCTCTTCTACAGTAATGTAGTTTGATTTCTACTACAGAAGCCAATGATATAATTATATTTCGATTTATAAAATTCACTTTACAGCCACACTTTTAAGAACGCATTTCTTCTATAAAATAACGACCACTAAGAAGTAAGTGATCTTGAAACAGGAAGACGTTTTAGATGTCACTTAGTACAAACTCTTTCCCATATAAGAATTCATTTAGCAACATTCCTGGCACTCAGTTTCTGTTAGAATAGTGCCAGGACAGAGGTCTGGCTGATGAAGTGGCCCCAACCAAGCCTGGACAGCTCAAATTATCACAAAGTCTTGACACTTTCCTCTAGTAATACCAACTCGTGGTCTAGTAATACAGAGTAAGTTTTATCTCCCTTTCACATGTCAGTTTTTAAATCTTTGGTGGCAAGTAAGTACTCTGCCTTGTCTTCCTAAGACCACATAAATAAACTACTGAAAGTATGTACTTACCGTTAAGTAACCATTTAAAAAATATTTTCTGCCTTTACTATTCCTACATGAAGCCATTGATTTGAAAGTCTTAATCAAGTATCTTGGTACCCATGTACACAATGGAAACAAAAAATTGTTTTAAGAGGAAAAAACCATTTTTAATATTGGGAGCACTCATTGCATGCTACAACTGATTAAGATGGTAGGTTCTAGAATCAGAACACTTTGTGTTCAAATTCTTGCTCTACCACTTAGCTTGGTTTCTGCTGGCACTTTCCTGAGCACTGAGTGACAGAATGTGTATAAACCACTTAGCACAGGGCTCGACTTATAATGAGTGCTCAAAAATGCCAGTTACTGTCCCATTACCCCTTCCTCCTAATGACTGAGTAAGTGTAGTGCTTGGAAAACTTCAGATTGATAATTGGATGCTTATACTAATATCTCCACTAATTGTCCTACTCTATTCAGTCAGCTTCAGAGGTGATTAAAAATCAGTTGAGTAAACAAGTCATTTATCTACAGGTCATCTGTCTGAATGAATATCAGATCAGCTAGGCACAGTGGCTCGCACCTGTAATCCAGCACTTTGGGAGGCTGAGGAGAGAGGATGGCTTGAGTCCAGGAGTCTGAGACCAACCTAGGCAACACAGCAAGACTTTGCCTCTACAAAAAATAAAAAAAACTAGCCATGCATGGTGGCATGTGCCTGTAGTCCTAGCCAGTCAGGACACTGAGGCAAAAGGATCACTTGAGCTCAAGAGTTTGAGGCTGTGGTAAGCTGTGATCGTGCTACTCCCCTTCTACCTGGTTGACAGAGTGAAACCCCAACTCAATACAAAACAAGACAAAGCAAACAAACAAAACAAATTACCAATACCACAGCTTTTTAGCCCTAAAGAGTTTTGAATTTTTTTTAGCGTAGCTTAAGGAATCCTAGAAGTTGATATATAACTGGGACAGTGTGGCAGCTTTGAGTGAGGAGTAATTAACTTGTGGAGAAATTTTCAAAAGAAAGCAACAGAAAAGCATCAAAGAAAATAAGCTTTGATGATGTTTATAAGCTCTGAAAGATGACTAGGTCACATGAACAATGAGAGACACAGAATTTAGTAATATAGTCTAACAAAATTTACTAAATAGGGATCTGCCACATAGTAAACAGGTAGATTGTTACTTTTCATGGTAATCACACTTATTCTTGAAATGTACATCTAACCCTGTACACCAGTGAAGAAAGAGCACAGCTTACCTCATGAGGGATATAATCAGGGGGTAGTTTGCTCAGCATATCTTCAGATAATCTATAAACAATGGCTTCCCGGGTCTCTCCTCCGCCACCACCGCTCTCTTTGGGTTGGATGTTGGTAATTGTTTCAAGAACAGCAGAAGCAGTGTTACTCTGATATCTGACAAAAGAGTCAACTGTTCAGAATGTAACAGGGAAACACACTTTCAGAGAAATTTGTCAAAGCTAAAATGAACTAATAGGATTGCTTAAATCAAAGTCAGCCACAAAAAAAAGAAAAGAGAAGAGAAAAAAAAGGAAACTTTTATCAACTTACTGGAATGAAAAAACTAGAGTTCCATTCTACGGCCTCCTAATGGGACATAAAGAAGAACACCACAGAAATGAGAAGTTCTCCATCTTCAGAAAAAGAATGACCTTGGTAATACAAGTCAACGCTGTACCATGTTGGTTGCAGCTAACCTAGACACCACATGTTGAACAATGGGCACATCTTTTATTCTCCCCAACTATGGACAGGTCATAAAGCCTATTATTACATGACAGTTTACCGGATCAAAGAGGACTACTCATATTTTCTCAATGAATTATAATTATTGATTTTTTTTATCCTTTCCGTTTTGTTTTCTCATTTTCCCGTTTGTTTTTATGATATCCATCTGCTCCACCTGTTCAAATGCAGCCACCCATCTTTAAAAACATTTATTCCATAAATATTTACTATGTACTAGGCACTGAGCTAGGTTCTAGAATACAGCAGTGAACAGGACATAGTCCTGTTCTATAGTGGAGGAGGTGGACATTAGGCAATACCCCCGTAATGAGTGCGGTGGAGGAAAAGAATGGAGGTCTTAAGAAGCTTGGTCTCTCTCACTCTCTAGCTCTCCTTCGAGTCAATCATATGATCTGAGGTGCAAGAACTTAGTCTCTGTCCTTTAAATGTTGGTTTGTCCAGTTTCCAGTTACCTGAACACTCAGGTAGGGGTGTGTGTGTGTGTGTGTGTGTGTGTTTACACTAGAAGATCAGTAAAAGTGTCTCTTTGAAAGTCATATATAAGTTGAGACTCGAAGTATGAACAGACAGTGGGGTGGGGTAGAAAGCAAGAAAGGACATTTGGATAAGAAGCAAAGGTAGGGGTAGAAAGCAAGAAAGGACATTTGGATAAGAAGCAAAGGTAGGGGTGAAAGGATTTCAGTGCATTTGGGGAACAGAGACAAGGCCAGTGAGGCTGGAGTCAGTGATCTAGGAGGAGAGATGTGGATGGGAAGAGGTGGGGACCAGATCATGCAGGGCCATGTGGGCTATATTGAGGATTCTGAACATTACCCTAAAGGCAATGGGCACTGAAGACTTTCCAAGCCAGGTGTGGCATGACCAGATTTAAATTTTTCTGTCTTTTCTGAATTCCTAATTTGCCACCTATAAACATCATATAATTTGAATCTGAGGGATTATTGTTTCATTTGTAAATTTTATCTCTTATTCAAATGTCAACGACATTCACGTTTCCTTTCATAGTCATTAGAGGCAAATCTAAAAGGAATTCAGCAAATGCTTGAGATTTATTTTTCTGTAATATTTTCTTAAACAGAAAATAAGACTTTGTAATATGGCAATATGTATCCAAATTTTACATTTGCATATCTTTTAATATAGCAATTCTGCATCTAAGAATTCATCCTAAAAAAAGAACAAGATATTTCCATTTCTGAAAGTATGGTACAATTGTACATTGTATGGTATACCCTTCTGAAAAAAACTAAAAATGCTGAATAAAATATGAAAAACTTCTTTTTTAAAACATTGCTGAACTGGCAAGACACTAAGAAGTTCTCAGGGTCATATAAAATGTAGAGTAAAAGTAAGAATCTAGAGAAAGAAGCGAGATTTTCCTCTGGGGGCATGAACTGACTCTGGTGTTCTTGATTCTGTTTGGATGGTACAATGAAACAGGGAGTCAACCTCACACCTAAGGTGTAAAGCCTAATGGGAAATTCTTACATAAATCTGGGACCCCTATGTGCTACAATCTCAACATAAGGGTAAACATGAGATAACCCACCTATCAGAAGGAGATGGTAGCTAACTTGTTCTAGCTAGCCTGTTACAAGGTGAGGAAAAAAATCTTTCCTGAGAATTCTTAATTCACCAAGTTTATGACATTAATTAACATTCATTCATATTATCAGTGCAAATTTGAAAAAACTCAAGGCAAGAATTTTTTTTTTTTTTTTTGAGTTGGAGTCTCACTCGGTCGCTCAGACTGGAGTGCAGTGGCCGCTCCCGGCCACCACAGCCTCAACCTGCTGGGCTCCAGCGATCCTTCCGCCTCAGCCTTCTAAGTAGCCAGAATTACAGACACACGCCACCACGCCCGGCTCATTTTTTATTTATTTATTGTAGAGATGAGGTCTCGCCAAGTTGCCCAGGCAGGTCTCAAACCCACGGGCTCAGGCAATCCACTCACCTCAGCCTCCCAAAGGTGCGGGATTACAGGCTGAGCCACCGAGCCCGGCAAGAATTTATTTTAAGGTGGTACCAGGAAGTCCTAGGTGGTATCTGATGGAAGCAAACACAGATCTTCCCTAGAATGATATCATTTCAATTCAAATATCAAAGAATTCAATAGGTAATTTCCAGTAGACATAAGCTCACAGTCAAAAGTTAAAAGCTAATAAAGAAATAAGGTACTGTGAGCAAGAGCCAATAGAAACAACAGAAAACAGAATCACACCTGCAGAGATCTCAGATAGTAAATTTTCATACATGTTATAAAATATGTTTTTACTACATTAGGGTTTTTAAAAGGTGGCTGAAACCATAAATATTTAATAGAAACTATAAACATGAATAGCATATTGAAAAAGAGTCTAAAAAACTTCTGGAAATAAAAAATAACTAACATTTAAGACCTATCTGTTATTTATTGCTGCTGTAATAAGTTACCATAAAATTAGCAACCTAAAACAGCACTCATTTATTATTTTACAGTTTTGTAGGTCATAAGTGTGACACAGGCCTCAGGGGGCTAAAATCTAAGTGTCAGCAAGGTTAGGTTTCTTTCTGTGTGTTATAAAGGAAGATCAACTTCTTGCTCATTTGTGTTAATGGCAGAATTCACTTTCTTAACGTTGTAGGACTGAGGTCCCCAAGTTCTTGCTCACTGTTAGCTGAGGGCCATTCCCAGCTTCTAGAAGCCACCTGCATTCCTGGGCTTGTGGCTTCCTTTCTATGTTTCCAAAGCTAACAATGGCATGTCAAATCCTCTCACACTTGGAATCTTTCCTCCTCCTCCTTCCATTTCATCTCTCTGACCCACTACTTTGTCTCCCTCTCCCTGGATAATCCATGATAACATCCCTATCTGAATTGCTATAAAGTTTCTTTTGCCACATAAAAATAACATGTTCACAGGTTCATGGGAATTGAATGTGGACATCTTTGGGAGTCCATTATCCTGTCTACAATAACAACTAATAATAGGTTAAACAGGCCAGGCCTGGAGGCTCAGCCTAAAATCCCAGCACTTTGGGAGGCCAAGGTGAGTGGATTGCCTGAGCCCACAGGTTTGAGACCATCCTGGGCAACTTGGCAAAACCTCATCTCTACAATAAATCAAAAATTAGCTGGACCTGATAGCAAGTGTTTGTAGTTCCAGCTACTTGGAAGGCTGAGGCAGAAGGATCACCGGAGCCCAGCAGGTCAACACTAAGGTAGCCATGAGTGTGCCACTGCACTCCAGCTGGAGCAACAGAGTGAGACTCCAACTCAAAAAAAAAAAAAAGAAAGAAAGAAAGAAAAAATAAGTTAAACAGAAGATTAGATACAGTCAAAGAGAGAATAAGAAAACTGAAAAATAGTTCTGAAGGCAGAGGAGAAAATAAATGGAAAATATGAAAGAGAGGTTAAAAGGCATGTAGGCTAGAATGATAAGCTGTAACATACATCTTAGCAAGGTTTCAGAAATATAAGCGTAAAATAAAAAAGAAAAGAAGTGATGAAATAATGACTGGAAATTTATGGAAGACTTGAATCCTTAAGTTTATGAAACTCAATGAATCCAAAAGAGGCTAAACAAACAGAAATAAATAAATAGAAATGTGTATTTAGATACATCACAGTAAAACCGTGGAACACCAAAAGCAAAAACAGACAAAAAAGCAAACAAAAAATCTTTTAAAAAGCCAGAGAGAAAAAACAGATCACCCAAAAAGAAATGACAATTAGATTGACAGTCGATGCCTCAACAGCATCAATGAAATCCAGAAAAAAATAGGATAGTGTCTTCCATGTGTTAGGATAAAATAACTATACACCTAGAATGTATGCCAATCAAAGCTCACTTTCAAGAATGAGGGCAAGACAAAATATTTGAATAAAAAATTCACCAAAGAAGTAATATGACTGGCCAATAGGCACATGAAAAAATTGCTTAGTCTCATGATTTATCAGGAAAGCACAAATTAAAACCAGAATGTGATGCCATATCACACTTACAAGAATAATTAGATATTATAATGAAAAAATAGACAATAACAAATAAATTTGAATCTTCATAATTGCTGGTGTGATTGTAAAATGATGAGGTCACTTTGGAAAGCAATTTGGCAGTTTCTTAAAGTGTTAAGAACAGGTTAGTTATATGATCCAATAATTATATTCCTAGTTATCTACACAAGAAAAATGAAACAACATGTCCACACAAAGATGTACATGTGAATGTTCATAGCAGTATTCTTCAAAACAGTTCCAAAGTGTAAAACACCTAACTGTCCATCAAATGGTGAATGGATAAATGAAACATGATATATTTATGCACTGGAATATTATTTGGCAAAAGAACCAAGGGAATACTGATCCAACATGGGTGAACTTCCAAAACATTATTTTAAGTGGAAGAATCCAGACACAAAAGTTCACCAAAAGGATAAACTAAGGCAAGGTAGGCTGGTGCCATGGGAAAGAGGCAAAGATTTGCATCACAGAGAAAGTAAAGTTTATTCTCCACTTTCCACAGACAGAAAGGGGCCAATGCTCATAGGTAAGCATGGTGCTGAAGGCTGGGAAGCTGGGTATATTTAAGGCTCCTGAAGGGAAGTTTAGGCCACGAAGAAAGTCCGGAGGTTGCATCCTTTGATGTAGATAACAGAAGTCACATA